TATTATTGGTATTATTATTGATATTATTATTGATATTATCAACAGCAATTTTCTTTCTTCCATAAAATCTAGTGGACTTTATACTAGACATGTAGTGGTTAACTTCATTATCTACTATTTCTTTCATGATTGATTCGTAATCAAAATCGATATCTCCAAAAGTTTCTTTGAGAATTGGAAATAAAACTGGTTTCAAAGACCGACTCAGACCGATTATGTTTTCTCTGGCCTAATTTATGTACAATATGTTAGATATAATGTGAAATACAGATTTGAAGCACACAATATCCAGTTCATCAAATTTCTTTGTGTGGTCTTTCTTAATTAGGATGTTTATTTTTTCTTATTTTTCCTTGCGTTTAACGAGATGCATTCAAACGTAATAAAGGAAATTGTTTGGAAGATTAAAAATATTTTTACGTACCAACTCTCCAATTAGGCCCCCCCATCGTCCCAATGGCGTAGACTTGTGTTTTTTTTCAATATCAATCAAATTTTGTACATCGGCCATAAATTGCGGTATGTGGGAACATATAGACGCATTTATTCCTTGTGATTTTAGATACATTTGTGCTTATTAACACGAAATTATTGGTAGTATGATAGAAAAAATTAAAATATATTATATATTAGAAACAAATTTGTTAAGGATTATTACGTAATAGGGTTTTAAACCGGTTTTATTTATTAGTTTTAAACCGGTTTTTAATATACAAAAAAGGGATTGGATCTGGATAGTAATTTATCCGAGTAGAGGGGTCCAATCCCTAAATAAACCGGTTCCAAATTCTATTACATAGTCATACATACCTGCTTTATTAACGCGCGATGAAATTGGCCCTTCATTATCAAATTGAAAATCACATTCCATAAATTCAATCCAACCACCAGGCTTTGTCACTCTGACAAGTTCTAAAAGTAGAATTGGCCATTGTTCTTCAGTCAGTGCCAATCCCATGAATCGTTGGTATATAAAATCAAAAGAATTGTCTTCGAACGGAAGGCCATCCAACACATTCATCTGATAAAATTGGACATTTTGTGGTTTGATATTCGATGGAAAAACAGGTGAAAGGTCGATCCCAATAAACGAAGACGACGTGTATTCACTCGCCATTTCAAGGATCCAAGTCGCTGGGCCACACCTTTAATACATATGGAGGGTAGGTAAGCACGTGATAAGAATGAAACAATATCAACAAACGTAGTGAAAATACCATCCATCAACATATTTTGTATATGGACTATAAAAAATTACCCAATATCCAATACACGCACACCACCATTTCTAAGAATTTCTTCAACCGGTGATGAGAAATTTTCACTCCAAGCATGTCTAAACAAATAATGTTGAGATTGCAATCGATTTATCTCATCATCATCATTTGGTAATGGATATTTCGAATTCTCATCATTGTGATATCTCCTGCCATCGATATATCTAAACGAACTTGGAAATTGTGTACCGCTCACAGATTTTATATTAGAATGTGTTGAAGGATTTTGAGGACAACGTCTAGACCACATAATTCTCAGTAAGCTGGCAAAAGAACATTTTGATCTTTCTTTTGCTTCTTTAATATGATTATCATTGTCACAATCGTCATAATCACCTTGTTTTCGTAGGCAGTTGCCCATGATTTCTAATATTTCTAATAAAGAGTGTAAATTTAAAAAATATGAGAGGATTAAGGGAATGAATATGTGAAATTTTGCAATCTTTTATATCCAATTTTATATCTTATGGTAAATGGAACATTTTGATTTGATCGCCGATTATACCAAATTGATATAATTAATGAAACAATAAAAAAAAAAATAATAACTAATATGTGAACGAATATGCCTCGAGTAAAACTACGCATTAAACTAAATATTTAATATATGTTTAATATATGCTCCTAACATAGAATTTATTAAATTAGCTTGTTAAATTTATAATTATTAGCGTTAAGAATACAGATGTTTTGCTAATTCAGCAGTCAAACACATGATGGAATTAGACCTTAACTTTTTTTGGGTGATTCTTATTTTATTTTTTTATTTTTATTTTTTTTTGGTTTTTATTTTTACAATAATGACTAGACTAGATTTCTCACAATATAAAGAAATTATCTATCAATCTTTTGATCAATTCACATAATTTACTGTGCCTACTCTTAAAAGTTAATTCAAGATCATGTTGACAAATACTCATATATAGTTAAATTATCTATAACAGAACTAGCATTGAGATACCATTGAGATATATTCAGATTGAACCCTGGTCGCAGTCCGTTTTCGTAAAAAAGCTGAGCTATAATTGTCTTGAAACATATGTGATAGAATAAACTTCTCTGCTTCTTTTCGTTTATCGCATATTTCATAAACTTTACGATGCACATCGTGGTCGCTCTTTATAACATTATTTATTGTATACAATTGTCGATCGTGGATTACAACAATGATAAATATTACTTAGTACACTAGTTTTCTGTATGAATCAGGTTTTTTGTTTTACAGTCGATCAACATTGTTTCCATACATAAAAAATAGTCGCACTTAATAATGCCGGTCCTTCATTATCCCATCTCGCAGTTGCACTGACATTGCTGGCCTTCAGCCAATGATCCAAATACGAAAATTTTAAACTTTGATTATTATCGCACGAAACATTTTTTTTACTTAAGGAGATGACTTATTATATGTTAAGAACATCCGATGTAAATAAATAAGTAAAGCTTTCACCATCTTCGTTTCCTTTTTATCTTTAAATCTTCTATCTATCTTCTCTTATTACATTCTTCTTTTATGCCTAGCACAGAATAATTTTACTAAAAATGTTCTTATGCTATGAAATCTCGCTGATTGTCAATTAATTTGTGAATTAAAAAAAAAAATAGACTCAAAATATTGCTTGTTGGGGTCTTGGGGTTATGAATTTTACTCTTATTATGTCAAAAATTAAATCTTTTGCAATATGAACCTTCTACATATGCTTATACGCATAAAAATAGCTTTAATTTATGAAAACGTGTTATATTAACTTTTTAGGCGAACGCCACATTTGGTTTTATTAATCTTAAATACGTACGTAGTACAGTACGTATACGTACAATAAATTATATATATATATATATATTAAATTGGTTGTTGGTGGTAGGACCTAACGCAGAGAAGGTTCCATAAAATAAAGACGGAATAAAATGGTAAAATTTTATTGGCTGAAAAAAAGTTAAATTTTGATTGGGCAAAAAATTTTTTTCGGAATAAAATGGGAATATTTGACCAAAAGTACCTAATACACGCAATTAAATCACATGATATCTGATCACACGTATTACGTTAGAAGGCGTGCTTGGAGCAGTCTGATAAGTAAAAAAACCATCTTTCATAATTCTGGCCAAAATTTTGCAGTTTTTTTAAGTTACTTGCGTATCTAATAATGTGTAAATTTTAATCTAAAGTTCAATACTTATATTTACTATAGTTATCTAGATTGAAGATTATATTAAGGCGATATTAACACCATATGCAACTATGCCATTTTTGAATATTTTCGATTACGTTACATGTGTTTTTTGCATTCTTTTTTTTTTTTTTTTTTAAGGTGAGATCGTGCCTCTTTTCTTTATTAAGTATACAGTATATATATACAGTATATTATGTGTAATACATTTATACATCTAATTAGAGCAATAGCTCAGACTATATTTATCTATAACCTAAACCTACTAGATCAGTTCATGTTTCACTCATGTATTATCTAGATTTTGTACTACTTAACCTGCTTTTTTTACTATCTATATTCTTCACTTTTCTTATACTAGCAATTTTGTATTTTCAATATAATTTAGTATAGTATCTATTACAAATTTTATAAGAAGGCACTAGGCAAGTATAATTTTATAATTATTTTTAAATTAGTAACAAGTATATACTATATTACTCCTAAGTTTGTACTCAAGCTATTTTTTGAAATATTACTATAATTCAGTTTGTATTTTAAATATAATATATCTATATATTTTTTTTAAATTTTCAGCAGTCTTGTCTCTACTTTATTAGGCTTTATAATATTATACTATGAAATATTAAAATTTTTCAAGAGGTTATTCCTCTTGACACCTAAATTACAAGTATTAGCTCACCCGGTTATTCAATGAACACCTATATGCGACCTGCTATAGTAAGTTTTACCTCCATATTAACTTATCCTGCACTTGGATTCATTAATACATGGAAGGTTCTTACAGCCTGTCAAGACTACTAATTAATTTTCTACCACTCTGCGCATTGATCACTTAAAATCCAACTTAATACTTCATTTTTCACTATTTTTAGCAATGCGGCCCATCTTTCTATTTTTTCTTTTTTCTTACTTTTCTGTTCAGGTGACTTGTTAGATACAGTTTTCTTCCTGTTTTCATTCTTCTTCTTTTCTTTCTTCCTTGCTTAGCTCTTGGAGTGACATTCTTCTTTTTTTTGGGTGCTATACCATTTTTTTTCTCACATTCCTGTATAAGTTTGCATCTAGAGACCCATATCGTCTCATATATTCTCTTTATCTAATTTTTCCAGAAACGGATTATAAACTTTTTTGCTTGGTTGTTAAAATCAAAAAATGGTCGTAGCTCTTCGACATCACCATTTGTAATGAGGCCTCTGATCTATCTTTCTCTTCTTTTTATTTCTTTTGATATACTTTCTTTTTTTAGCATTGCAAGAATACCTTCTTTGTTCCTGCTTATATTATCTTCTTTTTCGAACTTTTTAAGAATTGCTTCTACTTCTTGTTCTTCTATATTATGCAATAGGTCTAGTGAGACTTTACAACTAACTAGATATTCAACATTCTCGGTTTTTTTCTTGCATACTACACATTTGTTCATTTTATAAATGTCTGGTCTTCTCTGATTTAATCTCTCAAAGACTAGAAGTAAGTTGTTTATACACTTTAATTTGAAGAGCTGAATATTGTTTAATTCAAATATATAATTTCGTTGTTTAATTCCACTTTTTAAAAGTTCATAGAATATTGACCAGCATTGATGAGTTTTTCTTTCTTTGTATGTAGTGTTTTGGGTACTATGTGCGAAAGTCCATTCTGCTCTACTAATTACTTTTTCAAGCATTTTGATAAAAGATCACAGCGGCTTTTCTACTAGTTCATTTTTTCATTTTAATCTTAGCTTGTATCCTTTTGTGTTTAGAGATACTAGAGACAAAACTTCTGCACTAGATACACCTTCTCTGGCTTTGAGATCTGCCAGATTATTAAAAAATTCGCCCGAATACCCTTTGACTTTTATAAGACACAGCTTTAGCTATTTTGCCTGAACTATTTCTGTCAATGTTGCGATAAGACTGCTATTTTTAATTTTTAGCTACTGTCTTGCTTTATCTAATTCTAGTCCTTTTTTGATTGCTAAAATTGCTGCTTTACTATCTGTTTTGATTTCAACTTCTTTTTCTTTTGGTGATATTAATAGAGCAATGAGGATTGCTACTAACTTGACTTTGGTCAAAGAAAACCACTTTTAGTTGCACATACTATTTGATGAATAATCTGGCCCCCTCTGCTATTTGGATTATACCACAACCCATTTGCATTTTGAGATCATTTTTTGACGTTCCAAGTGAGCCATCTGTGTAAAATAAAAGACTATCTAATTCTTTGTTTTGCTTTAAGATTTTTGCTAATCTATTTCTAAGTTCTTTGTCTATAACTACTTTGTCTATTAATAATTTTTTCTAGCTTTGGACTTCTATTAACGGTATGTCTTTTTTTTTCATATCTTGTAACTCTTTCAGTAATACCAAAGTTTTTTCCTTTTTTCTCTTTATCAATTTTTCGAGAATATCTATATTGAAGATCAATTTTGCTCCTCTCTCAGTTTTTTGTACAAAGTTTGTAATATTTCTTAATTCTTTACGGTTAACTACTGATATTCCTAGTTCACTACTATACTCTAGAGAATTTTGCTTATAAATTGGACCTGTTTCTATTAACTTTCTATAATTTTCAACCTCTATGTACTTGTTTTTTTTTTCACTAATTTTTCCAACTCTGATATTTGCATTTTCTTTGTCTTTCCACATAACCCACTCTTTTGTTCTCTTGTCTTTTTTAACTTTTTCTATGACTAAACTGGGGTTGTTTTTGTTACAAGGTGCTATTCTGAACTCTGGTTTAACTTCTCTCGAGAGCGAGTTTATGATCATTTTCCTTTCTAAATTACTGAACCATTTTGTTTTTCTTTCTCTTTTGTCTATATTTTGTATCCACTTAATTTGTTGCCAAGTATACATTGTTTTGCCATCTTCCACTATAAGTTGTGATAGATAAAAAACCCCCAGATTGTTTGCATTTGACTCTTCGTATAAAAGATCACTTCTCTTTAGAATTTCAGCTATTTCAAGATCGTTTACTCCTAGTGGAGGCTTGGAGTTCTAGCTTTTTGTAAAATCATTTTTTTCTATCGAGAAATCTAGTGCCTTTGCTTGCTGTAAGATCTGCAAATCTAGGTTTCTTAGTTTAGTTTTTTTAATAATGCTTGATTTGTCAAAATGCATTTGGTCGTGCCTATTTTTAATTAACCTTGCTTTAGTCTCATTAGTGTAGATTTTTCTACAGGCCCTTCTGTATTTATTCTCAT